AAACTTATCGAGTTCATTGTCTCCAATTCCACTGTAAATTTTTAGTTTTTTATTGACGTTATTAAATTGATCAATTATCATAGTGACATCATCACTAGGGATACAAGTGATAATGTCATCTACATAACGGTAATAAAAAAAATTTAAAAATTACAATAAACATATTTTTTATTACCGTTATGTAGATGACATTATCACTTGTATCCCTAGTGATGATGTCACTATGATAATTGATCAATTTAATAACGTCAATAAAAAACTAAAATTTACAGTGGAATTGGAGACAATGAACTCGATAAGTTTCTTAGACATAAAACTCATACGTACTACAGATAACAAACTAATAACAAATTGGTATCAAAAACCAACTAATTCCGGACGCTACCTTAATTACTTTTCTTATCATCCACTCAAAATGAAAATAGGTACTATAATAAATCTAACGGACCACGCAATACTTCTATCGGACAAAACATTTTGGGACAACAACATCAAATTAATTACAAAAATTTTAACAGATAACTCTTATCCCCTAAAACTTATAAATTCCGTAACTAGTAACAGACGAACGTAACTTTGAATAAAATGGACAATTGCACAGTACATAACGATTTACCTGACTCAGAAACTCATTCTGGTGTAATATGTTTGCCATACATTAAAGAATTGTATGTTCCTTGGAAAAAACTTTTTTATAAATCTGGACTTCGACTTGTAACCAATTTTAGTACAACTACTAGCACTATTTTACAAAAACAAAAACCCCATTTAATATCGAACGTCTCAGAAATCTCGTCTATCAAATAAATTGTTTAGACTGCAATTTAATTTACATAGGAGAAACTAGCCAGAACCTCAATAAACGGTTACAACAACATAAAAACAATTCAAAAAACCCCAAACAATTCAAAACTGTTCTTGCAGACCATATATACACTTTAAAACACAATATGGACTTTTCTAATCCGACTATACTACAATTTGAACAAAATTTATTTAAACGAAGAATTATAGAGGGATCTTTTTTAACTATTTATAACAATAAGACAATAAATAAACGGAATGAACTCAACACGCTGTGCGACACAAATCTCTTCTATTTAGATAACATTTCCAAATTTCTTACAAAACAATAAAAGCGTTCGCGCAAAGGTTTTACAATTCGTTCCACACATGTGCAGAATCTTGGTAAAAATTTTTTAAAAAATGACTTTCTCCATTACATCTTCAACCAGTCTACGAATAACACACTATTCATTTGTGATTTTTTCAAATCAGTATTTTGTGAAAATATTGTGTAATTTCAAGTTAATGTTTATAATACATAGTGTAGTGCATTACCATATCCTAATACCATGGATTATTAAATTTTCCAATCTAACACTAAGATCAACTAATTGTAAGTACTAATTACTATTTTTTTTTTTTTTTCACTCCAATTCAATTGTTTTAGTTTTTAATTTTATTTTTAGTTTCCACTGAATGAAGGCTAGGATTATAGCCGAAACGTATGGATTTAAAATAAATTTTTGAAAGAAATTCATGTTTTTTATTGATGTTATGCCCGATTATTAGACTTTGTTAATATATATATATATATATATATATATATATATATATATATATTTTTTTTCTTTTTAGGATAAATCCGCCTGGTGTGCAGGCTTAGGAATGGTTTTGTGCATGATGCATGTTGTGAATGCAGTTATGAGCATTGTATTGATACAAGCTATCAAAAAAGAAGAGGAGGAGGCTCGCAATTATAGAAGATAAATTAAAAAAAAAAAAATTAACCAAAATATTGTTATTTTTCCCACATGATACCTATAGTTTTTCCAGTATTTTTTGTTTAATTTTTTTTTAATTAGTCGTATTAGAATTTTTTATTAATAATTAGTATTAGATAATAATTTAAAAAAAAACAAAGAGTAAAATAATACACTTTTCTTCTATTATATTCCGCACGGAGGTCATAAATTGGGCCACTAATTTACTATAATAAAAAAAAATAAAAAAAAATATACAGTATTGATTTTAATTTAATTTTAGTGTAGTGTAGTATTATATAACTAGCAATAATTAATTAATAACATTATATATAACATTTTTTATTATTAAATACAAGGTACATTATGATTATGTTTTAATTATATCTGAAATAAATACAATCCATATTTTAATTAATTCGCTTGATTCGTAAGGTAAAATTTAATTATAAAATAAAAATCTAACAAAAACATAACTGAATCCTAATTAAAATCCTTCTAAATCTTACGTAAAACAAAGTGATATGCAAACTAAATCCTAACTAAAAGCATGTCATTTCTAATTGAATCCTAACTAATCCAAAAATCGATTTTAATAAAAACCCAATTAAATCTAAACTCGTTGCTAGTTGAATCAAAATTTAAATATATTTTAAACCTAATCAAATTTTAAGAAATCCAATAAAAATCATAAAAAATTCTCTAACTCAATCCAAACTAAAGCCAAATTAAATTTTATATTAATCCTAATAAAATCCAAGATAATTCAGAACTGATTCTTGATGAGAATAATAGTACAGAATTGAATCTTAATAAAATCCTAACTAAGTTCAAACTAAATTTTTAAAATTAGTTTAATATATTTCAAGTTGTATCAAAATCCTTAATAAAATTCTGAATAAATCTAAATTCAGTCCTGATTAAATCTAAATAAACTATAATTTAAATCTAATTAAAACACAAATACACAAAACTATTGCTGAATCGTAATAGAATCCAAACTAAATCGTAATAAAATTTAAATTAAATCCTATATTAATTTTATCTAAATTCAAATTAAAAATTTATAAAATTCTAACTAATTTCTAGTTTAATGCTGAACCATATAATTTTTTTATCAAAGTTGAATTAAAATATTTTATGTATCTTCAATAAAAATAATTGAAATTGTAATTCAAGTCTAATTAAATCCCAAACAAATCTAATAAAAATTCCGTATGTAATTCCCAATTACATTATATGTGAATTTTAACTAAATCTTAACCAAACCAAAATTATATGATCAGAATTCTAATTAAAGACATTGTAAATTGTGCTGAAATCCTGACTAAATACAAACTGAAGCTTAATTAAATCTAAACTCAATCCTAATTAATTTTCTAGTAAAACATTTTTAAAACTAAATTAAAATTAAATCCTAATTAAATACATTTTTTACCTACTTGAATTCTAATTTATCCAGAAATAAATGCAAATAAATTCCAAACTAAATCCCAATTAAACTAAATCAAAATCACCAATAAAAAGAATTAAAACTTTAGTTAAATAATAACTAAATCCTAATTACTTCTTTATTTAGTAGTAAATGATTCAACATTAAATCCAAATAAAATCCAAAATAAATCATATTCAAAATCTAAACCCAAACCAAATTTATATTTAGCTAGCAAGTAAATCCTAACTAAAATCGTCTTTTTTCTTAATTCTAATACAAAATCCAAACTAAATCCCAATTAAATAATTTCTGAATTCCTAACTAAATTCAAAATAATTTCTTGACGAATCATAACTAAATAGTAATAGAATCCAAACTAAATCCTAATTATACTCGAACTAAATCCCAATAAAATAGATTAATAATTCCTAACATAATTTTAACTAATTTCTATGTGAATCCTAACTGATTTAGAATTAAATCTAAACTCAATCATAATTAATTACAATTAATTAATTTACAATTTGAATTGTATAAATTTCCAAAATAAAAAGAATTCAAAATCTTAAATGAATCTAAATTACGTACTAGTAAATCCTAACTGATTCCTAATTAAATCCCAAATAATTTTCTGTTAAATTGTAATAAAATATTAGTTTGGTTAAATTTGAATTATATCATAATTGTTAAGTGAATAAATACAAATTAAATTCTAATTGAATCTAAAATAAATTTTAGTCAAATCCTAACTAAATCGTGCAAAAAAGATCACTTATAAATAATGAAAATTATGTCTGAATTTACTTAAATTCATGTGGGATTTTGTTATTCAAATACTACTGAAGTTTAAAATAAAGTTAAACATTTTTTAAATTTATAAATAACTTTTAAATAGCTAATACAATTGAAAAAAAAAAATACAACAATCCAAACCAAAAGTCCATTATTTTCCCCATTCAACTTCCACTCACTAATTTGCATCCTTGTCCTCAAAATAATTTTACACTCCACTTTGAATTAAATAAAAAAAAAAAACTATAACACATCGTAGTGGGTAAATTTAGCGTTAAGTTAATTAAATTAAATACTAGCTGTAGTTTTAGCTGTAGCCGTAGAATAATGTAATCGTCAGTCGGTTCGTCGGTCGGGCAGATGCAATTAGCAATTAAACAAAGTTCAGGCATTATTCAAATTTTTGAGAAAAATGGACACGAGAGAAAAATTATATATATATATATATATATATATATATATATATATGTTTTGTACTATTAATTTAACGTTAAAGTTCCGTACGTTTCGAGAGTGTGGTTTGTGTCATCAAGCAACAACGATAGAACATTTTGTACTATTGCTTAGGATAATTATTATTTATATTACGATGTAAGTTCCAAAAATTGTAATTATTAAAATAAATTTACAGTACACACAAAAATTGTTTCTATTCATCATTTATAACCCTGTCTATATATTTTCGGTGTAAATTTAAATAAAATCTGAAATCAGTTCATTTGTTATATGTATATAAAATAGGTGCAGTCGTAAAGTTGTTCGATATTGGCAGCTTGAGTAATTTACAATCCTAGTCGGGAACATGCTATGTAAACCTTTATTGATGATGGGCAATAAAAACAGGGTTTGGGCAAAAAATTATGGCTAAAAAAGTATAAAAATCTTACTAGATCTTACTTCTTAATGGAGTGTCTGGTGTAAAAATGTGTATAACCTTAATGTAATTGATGTGTTTGAATTATGAATTATTTATAATAATTATTTCTAAAATAAGTGCGAACTAAATCCTAACTAAATCCAACTTAATTTGTGAATATCTAAAAATTAATGATATTAACTAAATCAGATTTGAACCCAAACTAAATCCTGATTATACTCAAACTAAATTGCAATAAAATAGATTCTGAATTATAATTAAATCCTAAATAAATACAAAATAATTTTTCCATAAATCCTAACTGAATTTTAATTAAAAAGTAATAGAATACAAACAAAATCTTGATTAAACTCAAACTAAATTCTAATAAAATATATTTCAACCTACAATTAAATCCTAACTAAATCCAAAATATTTTTTCCATAAATCCTAACTAAATTGTGATAAAAGAGTAATAGAATCCAAAAATAAATCCGTATTATACTCAAACTAAATTCTAATAATTTAGATTCCAAATTATAATTAAATCCTGACTAAATCCAAAATAATTTCTAAGTAAATCCTAACTAAATTGTAATTAAAAAGTAAGAGAATCAAAAACTAAATCCTGATTAAACTCGAACTAAATCCCAACCAAATAGAATCTGTATTATAATTAAATCCTAACTAAATTTTAACTATTTTTTTTAATTGAATTCTAACTGGTTTATAATTCATTTGTAATAAAATCCAAACTAAATTTCAAATAGACTCAGATCAAATTCAAATTTAAATGATTGTAATCAAATACAAAATAAATGAAAATTAGTATAAAAATAATTATTTAATTCAGAATAAATAATCTTAACAAAATCCAAACTAAATTCAAACAAAATTTTAGTTAAATAGGCTAAATTAAATTTAAATCCTAACCAAATCTGAATTAATTTCCTCATTAAATCGTAAATAGAATTAGAATAGTTTCCAAAATTAAAAAACTAAATTTATTTGGGAATTAATTTGGATTATTAATTCTTATTAACATTTTTATTGAAATTTTAGTACATTTTCATTATAATTCAAACTAAATTTAATTAGGATTGATTTTTGATTTAATTACGATTAAATTTAATTAGTATTTAGTTATGAATGTAATGAAATTTTTATCAAATTTATTTGGGATTTATTTAGGAATACCGGACTAAAGTAAAATTAGTTAATTGCAATTAAGATTTTTAATAAAGTATAAATATACCTAAAGTTGTTTGGCTTATTTTAATGAGAGTATCCTAAAATGATCAAAAGATTTCTAAACATAAAGCAGCTTCATTAGATTTTGTTTCTGGATCTAAATCCAAACTAAAAGGAATGTAGTTGCTTTCAGAGAAACCCATCAAGTGCAAAATGGGACGTTTTAGGGTAAATGATTGGGCTAATCTCTCTAATTACGACAAAATATTAGTATATATATATATATATATATATATATATATATATATATATATATATTAATGTATGTATGTATATATTGGTCGGCCCTGTTCGGATTTAAAATGCAACTTTAGAGAGCGCACTCTAAACAGGCAATCACTTTTCCGAACAGTATGCAGAAAAGTTAGCTGGGGCTGGATAAATTGTTTTAGAGCTACTAAAGCTACAGCTGTGCGTAAATTTTAGCTTTGTACATATATATATATATATATATAATATATATATATATATATATATATAACTCTACTGACAAGCAAGGTCTAAAAAAGATATGATATGAGAAAACAATTTATGTAAGAAGAAAAATAAAAGTATTTTGATTGTTAGTAGAGTCCTTTTTGATCATCACTTTACTTTTTCATCATATTACTAGGGTCACATTACTAGAGCGTTTGTAAAGTGTGCTTTTCATATATTTTTCAAGTTGTTTTTCAGTAGAGTACTTGTATAATGATTTCACTAACAAGCGATT